TCTGTTTTACCCCCAAATGAGTCCCTGAATGTGGTTCTGTTGGAGGTCTCTTCCTGTTAAAAGGAAGTTTGAATTATTATGATGAATACAGTTGAAAGGTCAAAGAGTTTTTGGTGAGTTCCTTAAAACAACTACCCTCAGTTCCTCATATTCATGGAAATTTTAAAGGTGTGCTTTAATTTAAATATTTGTATTAGCAACAAAATACATCAAATTTCTGTAATACTGCAACTTTTCCCCCCCACACACAAGCTTTGCTGTATGTGTTAATCAAGATTGCATCAAATACTTTGAAGTTCATAATAAACCTTGTGCTGGAAGGTAAGCAAAAAAAAAGAAAAGCAGCTATTTCTTCCCTTCTGATAGTTTTCTGTTGGAGCCTTAACCAGATGTCTGCTCTTATTAAACAAAGGGAAAAACATGTTTTTTTATTAGCAGCTATATTGTTTATGCAAAAGTGCAGACATTTACCCTGCTTACCAGTACAGCTCAAGGTCAGAAGTTTCTATTCCACCTGAGATTTTAGTGCATCAGCAGAGTCGAGGTACAGACTCTCCCATAATAAATGCAACATTAAGTTTGTCATTTGAGCCCACACAGTTTAAACTTCTGAGAAAGGAACTGGAGCGTCACTGCACTGTGCGTCTTTTCCATATTCAAGAGCTAACTTTATTGATAAAACTTAGCAGGAACAAAACTCTTGTGCTTGCCAGTGAATGTTTAATTGGTGTGAGAAGCTATGACTAAGGTAACAAGATATGAAAGGGATTTATACATTCAACTTTAAAAAAAAAAAAAAGAAGTCATTTTTGTGCCTCTAGAAAAACAAAACAAAACAAAGAAAAAAACGGGACTTTTTCCATTAGGGGGACCTTCACAGAAAGTCCTCATAATGACTTTGAGATGAGAACTGACTAGAGATGACTTTCACTCATGTCATGACACAAGAAGACAGGGGGGTTAAAACATCAGTCACTGGTCTGTCACAAGCAAGTAGAACGTGCTCTTTACTGTATGTGCACCTGTCAAACTGTGGGATATTTATTTATTTAAATAGGGCCAAGAAGGCATACAGCTACATCCAACTCAAGTTTAGCACATCTGCACTACAGGTGAAATACAACTGTAAAGAAAAAAAGATGATTTTATTTATTCTTTCTTAACTTCATTCAGAAAACAAAAGTAACAAGAATCTTGCAGACAAAACAAAAAGCAAAAGATTGGCTTTATAAGTAGGTCCACTGGGTAATTCTCCGTTTTCTCTAGAAATGCCACCATGAGAAAATAAAAAAAATTCTGAGGCAAAAAAAAAAAAAAAAGAAGACAACAGAATCTCCATATATATTACTGTATGGACTATAGTCAATGCAAGGCACCACAGGAGAAAGAGGGGACTCCATGAAAGAGGAACACATCTAAAATAAAAATGCTAAAATGCCAGTAAAAAGTGAGACATCTCTCTAACAGTCAGGATTGTAGCTGGGAGAGAGAGTGGGAGCCAGGAAACTGTGGGGTGTAGCAATAGGTCAGGGATGGATGATGGCGTGAGTCCCATGTAATAGGTCCAGTTTATACGTGGACAGTCTCTTTAGATGGGCTCCGGTTTGAGCTTTTCAGCCAGGAAGTCGCCGACAAACTGCTCCACCACGGCCGGCGTGATCTCCTCCACATCGCGAACGTACTTAGCACGGGCCGACATGTCCAGGATCGTGAGCAGAGGTGCCGCTTCGGGGAGGTTGGTGTAGTCTCGCAGAGAGTCGCTCATGTCATCCTGCAGGGAAAGAGAAGGAAGTACAGCGCTTAGTGTGATTTAGCAGTACATTCCTCACATGCGGGAATGGTTAAGCTACAATCAGGGCCTCTGGTGGGACTCAGGCCAAAATGACACAAATCTGTCATTGCTTTGACTAAAACAAGCCTGTGATTAAAATTGTAAAAAAAAAGAAAAAGAAAAAGTTTAACAGCAAAATCTTTGCCTTCTCCATCCTTTCACCACATGTTTCAAGTTTCAAGTCTTGTCACGTATAGCATCCTGACATTACAGGTTGGGATACCACAAGAAATTCCATCATGATGGAGAGGAAAATAAAAATATACAAATATATAAAGTCTTTGTTCCCTGTAGTTTTGGGTTGCTGTGAGTTCTGAACATTCTGTGTAGTGAATTCAACATTTTTTCTTTTGCATGACTTCAGTTTTACACCTCATTTAATTTATTGCACAATGTGACAACTTCAGTCTCTAAATTAAATTAAAAAAAAAAAACTAGAAGAAAATATCCTCTATCGAGGCCAATGCATTTCAAAAAGACAAGTAATCTGGATTAATGCTACACCACCAAGTGTAAGGTTCAGCCTGGAAGTTTTAGCATACTTTTGGTGAGTGGGCAAATCTTACATATGATTGGCTCAACATGAGTAATCAGTCCAGAAGTTCTCTCAAGAACTGTCAGCAGTTAGAACTGCCGGTACATGTATATTAGTACTTCAAACATTTTGTTTTCATTGCTAGTTCGAGCTAAACAAATCGAGTGCTTGCTGATGACACTGTGCGCAGCGCTCAAAAGATGCATTTTAAAAGTGTAAACAGGCTCACAGTTTTATTTAAAAGGGGCTGCAAGTGAAAGAAGGCTGTGAATCCCAACTCTACTGCAGCATAAACAAACAGCTAAACCTCTGGTGTAGAAATGTCACCTAAAATGCCTGAAAATGCCCCACAAAGATCAACAGGATTGCAAGTGATGCAGTTCTGTACATGGCATGGGGATGTCTTGTTGGGAGATAAGAGGGAGCTTTTATACTGGCCACATTTGCTGACATGGCATTTGAAGTACAACCAAAAACCTGGAGGAGACACTCTAGACATTTCCGTACTCCACAGCGGTTCACACTTCAGAAAACGAGGACAGCGCCCTGCACTTGAACTATGCCACGCTATAAAATCCAGAACTGCTTGGCACCATTGCACACTTCTTGAAAGAGAATATGAGAAACTCTTCTCTGCCATCTTCCTGCAGACGGCCTGCCCAGGGAGACCACAGAGCCGCTCCTTAGTCACACATCCTGCTGCATAGAAAGACGTGAAGGACCCCGGTGGGCGTCCAGAAGCATCCCTCCTTTATCAAAAGCTCACCCACATCAGATTTGACTCCCATCGCAGATGTTAGCGGGAGATGGAGCAGTGCAGATTTGAGAGGGGGTGTGTTAAAAATATATTGCTGCTGGGTGTATAGTGGGGATTCCAGTTTGAGTTCTTTCCAGTTATTTTAAAACAGCTTCACCATTTTTTTAGCCTGAGGCTTGATATCACCTTTCACCCCTTAACAAGTCAGGATTACAACCTCTGTACCCAGAGATTATAGATATGAATCACTACGGGGGGAAGGCAAGCAGCAACTTTCAAACAAGCTTGAGAGGGCCATCAATTATTGAGGCTGAACATGAAATCACAGTTTCGTAATTCAGCTTAAAGTTCCAGCCGTGAGCGCTTCGGCAACCGGCATTCCTGCCTGGACAGGGATCCATTATTCTCGGCGAATGAATTTCATGTGTTGGGTTTAGCGAGGTCACATAGTTCTCTTAAATGCTTACAGCTAATATACTAATATCATTTGCAACATTTTCCTCATCCTCATGACACGATGGCCCAGCTTCTCCTCAGCTTAGCTTGCTGGCTTGGAGGGAGAGCCTCAAAGATTAAAGATCACTTCCATATGGCAAAGATTTCGTTTCAAATGCAGAACATACAAGGAAAGGCCAGAGGGTGGCACTGCAACAAAGAGCTGGACTTTAAATAAAGGCCTCTGATGCTGTTAGTTACTGATTTATGTGACAGAGTGAGTTAAGTGGAACAAAGTCAACGATATCGCAACTTTGGATGGATTTCCTGCTTCATGTGATACTCCTCGAAGTTCAATTTGTTGTCTCTTCTTTGTTATCAGAGGATCCGCAGCTACTCTTGTTAAATGGATCAAACCCCACAATGAGCCCTCAGACTTTTCATTAAATAGCTGCACCGCTACCTAAAAAGGATAAGTATGCCAAGATGAAGTCTGTGACCTCTACTTTGCAAAACTGCTAACAGATGGAACAGATGAATTGAAGTGTGGTGTTTTGTCATAGGCAGCTAACTTCCTCTGAATAGACCATTTTATTATGCTGCAAATCACCGTACATCGACTACTTAATGCTCACAGATGTAAGCTGTCACTAAGGACAATGTTGTTACGAGAGAAATACTGCTTAATTCTCCGACTACAAATAAAAGCTCTTGCTTGCAGGCTCACTTGCAGCCATACGAAGCGTAGATTAGAGATCATCTGTAAAGAAACCACAACGAGAGAAACTCCAAAATCCATCAGTGTGACCTTTTCAGCATTTTTGATATGAGAAGATGTAATCTGTATATATATTTTTTATTTATTTATTTATTTATTTGTGGCTTTTGGCTTGTGGAAACTGCTTCTCACGAGGTGCAGTCATTTCAGAGGGGCCCTCTGCAGCTCAGCTGAGAACAAAAGAAAGAAAAAAGAAAACGACAAAGGGCCTCTGCTGTAACCCAAACTCACAGCTGTGATAAGGCTCAGCTTGTGTTTACCGTGTGGGACCTGCTGGGCCGTGCCAGGCTTGTTCTGATTACTGATGCATTGTGGCATTTCACAGACAGACATCGACCATCTGATAAGGATTCAGCTGATAATGATGAACCCAGCCACTCGCCCCTGAGCTGGGGTTGTGTCCATCTCACAGGTCACCTTTGATGTCCTGAGAAAAAGTCGTCATTGTCATAGATATATCTACCTTATACTGCTGAAATGTAAAACATTTTTACGTGGTGCACAGATAAATAAATAAAAAAATCCAACAGATGAATTTTTCTACAGAGTTACAGTTATAGCAATGCGCAAAAAATTTCAAAATTTCAGTATATTGATTCGCCCATTTCCCATTTTCCCTGCAAAATGTAAAGAAATGAGGGGTGTCTCAAGACTTATACACAGTACTATGAGATGGGAAAAAAATTTATAACTTAAACTCTCAGTCAATGCAATAATTGTGTTCCATTAGCCCAAGTAGATTCGTCTAGATTCGTCCACATAGAAACGTCTGAAAACGCTTACGTCCCAGTACTGCGCATGCGTGAAAAACAAGAAGCTTGGACCTGCCTCATTTCTGTCTGTCGTTTATTTACTTTCTTGATCTTTGAAACGTCGCGACAAAATGTTGAGTAAAAGCACCGAGTTTTTTTTTAAATGGACTAACAATGAGTTGGAGTTGTTGCTGCGAGTAACACAAAAGTAGAAAATTGCAAAAGCGAATGCCCTCCGCTATCTTGGTTTAATTGGTCACATGACTGCATCATATGATTAACATACGTCATGTTTTAGTTAGTTTTTAGTCTCCGTTTTCGCTGTGGACTGGAGGCCAAAACTGAGAGAAAACGATTAGTTTTCAAACAAAAATGCATTAGTGTGGATGTAGCCTGTTAGCAGTAGGGGTGCAACGATACACAAAATTCACAGTTCAGTTCGATACTTTGGGTCACGGTTTGATATTTTTTCGATACAAAAAAAATGTTCATGCCTTTTTAATTTGTCATTTATTAAAATTATAAATATATATTTTAACTCAAAAGTATAGTTTTTAAATGTAATGTTGCTGAAACAACAAAATAATAAAAAAAATACATCTGATCGAGAAATCACTCATCTTTGGAAAAGAGAGTTTATTACAGAGAAATGGCTCTTTCCAAAATAAAAGCTATACTATACGCTTCTTCTGGGCTATATTCTCAGCAGCATATTAAACATATCAGGTCCCCATAAGAAGAATCATGTGCTAACGGCTGTCTAAATGACTCGGGTAAAGTTTGTAGCATGCATGCTTGTTGTTTTTGTCTGCTTCCACTTGTCTTTGCACTACGATGATGTCGCGTAAATGTGCAGTCATATTCGTTGTGTTCCCACTAGTGCTGTCAGCGTTAATCTCGTTAAAATGACATTAACGCCATAATGCCGCAAATCTCCGTTAACGAGTACCGCAGATCGCCCGTGCATGGGGCTGGACGGCCAAAACCTTAATGAGCTAACTGCGCTAACGCACTAGTTCCCACCAATGTAATTGAGCATTGCGTGGCACATCGACATACCGTTTTACTTTTGTCCATGACGCGCTTACCTTCAGGGTCATACGTCACATGAAAACCAAAATAGTTCCAAAGGCCAGATCTGAATGAGGGTGGGGGAGGTTCAAATTGCCATGTTGTAAGGAGCTTAGCTTCTGTCTTGCTAGCTTGCGCTGTGCTCAGTGGATCTGCGCTTGACAGTGCAGCCTAGGCGGAGTAGTCGAACGCAGATCCACTGAGCTCTCAACATAGACAGCATCGTCAGAAGAAAAGTTGATCAAATAAATTAAAAATTTTGTGTTGTTCAATACATATGTGTACCGAACCGAAAGCACTGTATCGAACGGTTCAATATCGATATGAGTATTGTTGCACCCCTAGTTAGCAGCTAACAAGCTAGATAAACACACAATCGCTAAATATCACAGGCCTTTATCTTCCTTTTTGATGTTTAGCTGTGTGCTTTGTCAATATTTGCATGAGGTAATTTTCTGCAATGCCCGCATAGATAAAATACTGTTCCTGTGAATGCTTACATGCTTACACACATGGTCACATGTAAAGTTACCGGTCATCCATTTAGAAACATGGAGGCATAAGATCGAGCTTTGGACATCTCTACTACAGCACAGACTTTCTCACAACCCAGAGCCCTTGTCTACATCGCTGAATGAGACCTGCTTGGGTCACTAGCTGGTAAGATAATTAAGCATAACCCTTCTGACTGGCCGGTTAGGTTATTATATCCCCACTTGTTGCTTTTGCTTGACACCTCACCGCAGAAACAGAAAAAGCAATAACAAACAAAATCCCATATACATTTGTTACTAGCTAAGGCCATATAACAGTAGAGTGCCTTGGATGGCCACTTGAGGCTGACCCCAGAAATGAACCCACTGTGCAGAAGGTCATTTTTTAAAAACACAAGTAATCTCTTTAAGATTTTATTAAGGTTTAAGGCAAAAACCGAGGCATTAACCTCGAGGGACCACCACTGTTATACTATTGATCTGTATAAACATGTTGGACCACAGTATGACCTTGTCTTTCCACTAACATGATCAAAATGTGCATATGTGAAGCATTCACATTTTACATTAAAACATAATGAATGCAAAAGAAACTGTCAGTGTGCTATGATTTGAATAAATGCAGTACCAGAGTGGTTATGAAACCCACTATAATCTCAAAGTCAAAGCAATCATCCTGTTTAGGGACACGCGCACACACACAAATCAAGCAGGCAAAAACAAAGCTTTGAAGAGCAGAATCACAGTCACTTCTGGCTGCCACAAAAGTCTATTAAATTCTTATGTGACTGGATAATACCGCTCAAGTTCATTTTGCATGCAAGAGCCAGAACACAGCAGAAGTTAAAGAACAAAAGATCTTTCATTCTGCGATTATAAATCAGTATACTGTACTACCCTGTGGCGTATGTTTTTTTTACAGTTGGGTAAGAAGATCCTGTATCATTCAGCTCAGACTGGCCTCCCCCCTGAGGGGCTGCCAACATACTGCTGTCTCATGGACACAGAAAACCCAGCAGCTGGTCTGGCAGAGAAGTGTGTGCCTACCAGGGCACAAGCTTAGCTGAAGGAGCCCAGAGCATGGAAGCTTCACAGAATGCCTGACATGGGAAGCGATATCTGACGCAACCCAGTCTGGAGGGGGAAACCTGGTGATTTCATAGCCGGCTGAGCTACAGCCAGGAAATTAGACCTGCACTACATGGATGTAAAAGTATACGGCTTAGCATGTGTTGCTCCTGAATAACCGCAAGCTCCAGTGCAACAGCGTTTCTTTGTGTTTGTGCCAACATTTCTTTGACCTGACACATTTAACACGAAACGCTATCAGTCCAACTCGTGCTTTCCTTAAAACTTAAGCTTTTCTAGGTCTGCGTACATGTGCCACTGATATTCCAAAGCAGACAGAGTTGAGCTGCCATTTAGCACATGTGCGAGACATGCAGCTGAAACCAGAGCCTGCTTTTGGGCAAGTGACACACCAGAAACCAGTGCCGTCACCCCCAGATTGAACTGGGAGGAAGGCTGGCTTGAGGACAGAGTGCGGGGGAACTGAGGAGAGGTATCTAATCTGGTAATTATGTCTGCTGCTGCACCAGTTCTGGAGAGGTCAAGGCAGAACAACACAAGATAACAAGTATTATGAAAACTCCACGGCTCATCCCACACGGGGAAGATGTGGGAGGAGATACTGCGCAGATAGAAAGGATGATTTGTCAGTATTGTGAGGGAGAGCGCTGCCACGCTCTGCGTCTACCCATCATGATAGAGGCGCACAGTTGAATTGTAGGTCATGGATGGGACTGAATGCCTCTCTTGCACATTCAAGAACAGGGCCTCAAATGCTTTAGTAGCCACTGAAGTTGTGGAAATATCATCTACTGCACATATGCACAAGTTCTAAAGTTTAATTTTTATTTAATTGCAAAGTGAAGGTTGGTGTGGCTGCCCTGACTTTCTGAGTGGAAAGTTTGACTAAAGGGGGTGCTAGAGTGGAAAATTCCAACTGGTAACTCTGGATTTCTCAGTTCCCACTTCAAATGGAAAGCAGCATCAGAGATTACAGAGCACCCTGAAGCCTGAGCTTTTGGCTCATGGGGATTACTTGTAAATAAGCTGACTTCATTACTTGAAACTAATACATCCCCTTAAATACTCAAATCCAAAGCAGCTAAAATTAATTGTTGAATATAAACATATATTGACATTGTCAATATGCAACTTTGTGTTTCCAAAGTATCTCTTTAACTCTACATTTATCCTTTTATGAGTCATTTTACTGTTGTTTCAGTCATTGTTTGGTCTTCTGACCCTCAACTGTTCTGTTCACTCTCGCCACTCACGCAGGGTAACTCTTAGTGGCAGCAGGCAGCGTTTTTCCAGAAAACTGACTCTTTAGTAACTCACAGCAGTCACACGCAGTTAGCAAGCAGGTAGTGAACACCGAGCAGCAGCAGCAGAGCCAGATGTTTCCCCACAGTAGTGGGTAGAAACTGCAGAAGGGCCAAAGTGAGAAAGTAACTGCTGGATGTGGTCAAAGACAACGTGACAAAAATAGGTGAAATCCTCCTCTGGATAGAATACTGTTATTTGCCGAGAGTCTGTTTTTGTCTAACGTGTCTCCACCTCCTTAAAAACAAATCAGAAATGTTTGGAAATATTTGTTTATGCATGTCGCTGTGTTATTGCACTGGCATTTTCACTATCGTGTCTGTATCTGCCTCAAAACCCCCAAACCAAAACAAAAAGAAACCAAAAACACAGGATCGCCTGAGCTGTACATTCAAAGACTAAATCATCCCGAAGCACAGCTCAGGTAGAGCAGGATGTTCAAACCTCCCCCCCCCCCAAAAAAAACAAACAAACCCCAGCTTATGCCAGTTTTGTGTGAAATGGTATTTCACTCTGTCGGCTTATCTCACCTCTCCAGCCACAAAGAACAGCAGCGGCGTCTCCTCCTCCTTCGCTTTGTACTTGGCCATGAGCTTTTCCGCTATTGGTTGAATCAGCTCCTTGGCTGGCTCCAATTCACCTTCCTCCTCAGCGTCTGCATTAACCAGGAAAGAGAAACAGAGCTCTGTTAAAAGCATGAAGAAGCCACATGGGAGAGGAAAAGACGAACAGATGAGTGAAAGTAGTGGCTGCAAGGATAGGCAACTGGAGGACAGATGAGTGCAGAGATGAAAGAAACTACATGTACAGATGGTCCTCAGTCTTGTTGTGCGATTTGGTTTGGCCTCAGGAGACACCAGGGTGGTCTCATATTTTGAGGGTCATCACTTTGCACTCTCAAATTCTTTTCCATGTCTGTTTCCTCTCTACACCTTAATGTCTAAATCATTCAGTGCCATTCACTGGAAAAATTCTTTTCTTTTTTGCATTAGCATTCCCGTATTAGCATATAAATAGATGGAAACAGTAAATACTACATGAAGCATTTCCCACAGCATTTCCCTCTGGGACCTTTCGCCATTGGAAGAATTTTCCGCAGTGTCTGACATTCAATATGCTCTAAATAAATGCCACTTCATTCAGACAGAGCCCCATGTGGAACTTCGCCGAATTATAAAGCCTCAGCCTCTCACCCACAAACAGGACGAGGCAGGGCCCTTCGTGGAGCTGCACGGCGTTTGACTCGCTGAGCTCGAGCACGGGCCGAGGGTGCCAGGGAAAGAGCCGGCACTCTGGGTCGTTCAACACCTCCACCCGGCCCTGTCGCGTGATCATGTGACCCTCCGTGTCCAACAGAATCAATGTGGGAATACCTGGAATGGAGAAAGATGATGATGATGATGAAAGGAAGAGAAACATAGGAGGGGAGGAAATGGGCAAAAGCCTGGGAGGTGCTATGGGTCGTTTCCTTTAATTATCGCATCATGACGCACTCTTTTCCCTTTCACAGTGAGATTTTTTTTTTTTTTAAACCTCTTTTTGGGGATTCTCACCTCCCTCTAGCTCTGTCCGTTACCCCTCTGACAGTGCTTTTACAAGCCACCCGCACTGTGAATACAATCCTTTATCAGAAACAGACACAAATCAGGCAAGCAAGCAGCAATCAGTAAATTCCTGTCTGCACATGTGGACTGAAGTTAACTGAGGTGGGGGAAATCAGAGACTGCAGGGGTTTGAGTGAGTGTGTGTGTGTGTGTGTGTGTGTGTGTGTG